GATAAATATACTAGGGGTTGGTCAGTTGGTCACTTCGGCCTAGGGGGAGTCGCAGATTCCATTTTGCCAGCTGTAAATCTCATTTGACCCACCCCCTATCAAATAAAAAATAGTGGGTGACACACCCCATCATTATATTTTAAAATATGCTGGACCCCCCCCCCCCCGCCGAAAAAAAAACAAAAAAAACATTATCAGTTTTGGCTCTGACATGATTATAAAATGTATTATATGTGCAGTGAAAATATCATGGTTTGCCATAATTTTGACATAATTTTTGATAAACGCCCTTATAAGATAGGAAAAGAAGATTTGAATCTAGGCAGTTTGAACTCTCTGAAAACTAATTTGGATTTAAAATATCTTTCATATTTTATAGACCGGGAATGCTTTTACACCCGAAGCTTATGAAAACAAAGGAAACTTCTTAAATATGTGGTATTTTACAGAGCAGAATATGCATATTTAAAAGTTATTTCATTTATTTTAATTTATATGTCAGCATTTTCACAAATTTTACTTTTTTGATTTGCTGAACAAAAACTGTCACAGCTCTTTGTACTAATTGCTGTGTTGTCTTCCCATTAAATATCTAATACAATGGTAACTTCAGACATTAAATAAAATAATCTGATATCAGCAGCACATGGACTTGGGATGTGTTTAAAACTTAACAGTATAATTGGGGTTCAAGACGCATTCCACAATCTGTTAGTAAGTTATTTGGCAACTTCAATCCCAAAATATTTATCCTATAACTTTTTTTTCATTAAAATTTGTTTAGGCAATATAGGTAATAGTTATTATTGAGAACACATTTGTACGATTAACTTTTTTATCTTTTTTTCTGAAATTTTTTAAAAAAAATATATGCATAAGCGCGTATGTGAATTCTCGAAAACATGGTGACCCCCCAATCACCTATTCATGATATCAAAAACAGGGTGACCCCTCCCCCTATTGCAAAATCAAAAACAACGTAACCCCCCTTCTGATCCACCGACCCATCCCATTGGGATGAAGTGTAATGAATGTGTAATGAATGAAGTGTAATGAATGCAAAAATCCTTATGTGCGGACAAACGGGTAATTTCACCAACCAAAAACCATCACGGTGAACACAAAGGCCGAAAACTCTCAGAAAACTGTATTTTGGGAGAGTGTGTGCAACTCTGAAGAGTGTAACAAGATTACCACTACCTGTAAAAACATAAATTTGGTTGCTCAGGATTAACTGTTTTATTGGCCTTAGCTATTTTCACCGGCGTTCCACAGCAGTTTGCGCAGAGCCCATAGTAATACATAGTACAGACAGTGGTGCGCCTTAGCAACGTAGAACGTACTGTGACGTACTAATACCTCCACCCTCCAAGGATGTTGCATGAATTGCTCCCCATGTGCGCCAGAAAGAGATCGTTACGAGAAGCACGCCCTCAACGATACTTTACGATTCGAAACATATCCAGCCCATTCACTGTTTTTGATTTAGCATCTTTGTGACAAACCCAATTTTTAAGACCAAAATACCATATTTGCTCGTTATGTAAATTTCAAGTATTTTATTCATAATTTAAACATACAGCCAAAGGAAATTTGAATTATTTGCACTTATTTTGTACTCTTCTAATGGAGTCCAGAAATTGTGTTCTATTTTAAAAATACAGTCCAGTGAATTTGGAAAATGAAATATGTGAGGGGAGGTTGTAGTTTCTTAGACATTCAAAAGACTGGCATTTTAAATCTTCAACATTGTCTAATGAGCAGGCAACTTTTCTATTTGAAAGAAAACCAGTAGAGTAATGGTCCCCGAATGCATACAGGAATAAAAGACCATTTTCCCCCTTCACTGTGAGAATCACACCTTATGCATGAAATCTAACGTAAAAACAGGACAAAGGTCACAGCATCAAACATCGCATGGGATTCGACAAATGTGAAAGTATTTTGTGTGACATTTCTATGCTTAATAATGAGCTGTACATATTTGATCATGGGCAATTTCGATTAAGTGAGGATATTCGAATGCAATATTTCTCTATCAAAGATCGGCCGGTCGATGTGAGCTACAAAATAAAGAAATTAGAGTTCAAAATCAAATAGTTTGATTTTTTGCGGCAGACGTTCGATGCGCGTTTTTCATGCATCTCGCGAGATCTCGCAGTTGTACGAAAAATCACCTATTGCAGGGCAGTACATTGCTGTAGTCAACACTAAGAAACATTGGATTTCATTTTTATAAGTTTATTTCTTTAAAATTAACTGAAACTCACTGTACAGTAGTCAATATTGTAATTGTCAAAGCACAAGCACTTGTCTACAAATTTTCCATCCAAGTAAGCACACACCCACCCATACACTCCTCCCTCCCCTCAATGTAGATGCATTTAATTGTTTTCATAAGTTACAATGGATTTACATTGATTTCGAGTATTAACGAAACATTCCTGGTAAGAGACGAAAAGATCTTGTTGGCAGTTACAGAACCACACTAACTTGGTAAACAGTAAATAGGTGAAATTATCTACAAGATAAAATCAGATTATACCTTACAGAGAAGCGAGATAAATGCTTGTACTGTGACAATTTCAATTCTATCACTTTTAAAGTTTTTCTTAAAAAAAAATGCAATACAATATTTACAACCTTCAAACGCCCAGGTCTATTTCATCCATCAAGAGATGGATGGGGGAGGGGACATTTAAATATTAAATGCGACAATAATTGCATCAAGACCCTCCTTTTACAGTACATACATATGGCATTTCAATCATGTACCGAGCAGTATCATTGGCTGATTTTCAAAACACAGGACCAATCAAAACACATAGAAAGAACATGTTGGTCCAGAAAGTGTATACAGCCTTGTACTTAATAAATATATATATTTTTTCTTCCTTTCTAAAATAAATTTTCAAATATAAATACCAAAATAATGCATTTACAAGCAAACAGAATAAAAACTAGTTAACTCCCTCTACATCTTCTTTATCAAAACAAAGAAAACTGTTAAAATACTACTTAACAGTAAATCCTGAGCATATTTTTATTTTATTTTTTTATTTCAAAATTACATACTGCATGTAATTCCAAAACACCTGCAACATTGTATAAATATGGGCTTAAATAAATACAGTTTTTTCAATCACCAAACAAGCCACAAATCTGGTTGAAACTGGTTTAAAGCGATCGATACTCGAGGTAGACCAAGTTTCTTTGCATTCAAGCAGCAAATAAAAAAACAAAACTTTGTTGCATTTTATGGTTCATAAATATGATAGCCACAATATTATGGCTAATATTAAAAAATAATTTATAATTATACAACACAGACTGGTTAAAATTGACATCCATAGTTAGCCTATGCTACACTGATGTTATTTTGATGGAGTCCAATGTCGTATTGCAGTCTTGTAAGGGTATCTGTGAAATGTGACTGACATCGTACGAATTGCTTTTGCGAGACTTTTTACAGCATGGACACTTCCGGCAGCAGCTAAACATACGATTAACGACACGATCAAACGGTTCTAACGAGTGCATCCACTTTGGAAGGAAATCCCATGTCCTTAGGAAATGAGGAAGACATTTCGGTGCTTTGACCTGGAGCACGCTAATCAATATAGCTAACGTTGCGATGGTTAGAATCGGGACGCCGAACGCAACGAGATACTGCCATCCAGCCACAGACAGCGCAAAGACAAGACCAGGCAGAAGAAAGAACATGAGTACTAGATATAGCCCAGCAAACCATCGGTACTTAGCAGTCGTGTTGCCAAATATCTTTGCAACTCTGATAGGAACTTTACGCATGCATGGTATCGGGTACCAAATGAGAATGCCAGAGATATTAAACAGAAGATGACAGAAGGCAATCTGAAGGGCACTGGCTAATTTACCGTCAGAACTTGCCATGGCTGCAAGAAGGCCCGTACCAGTCGTGCCGATATTTGCACCCAGCGTCAAGGGATAAGCACGATCCAGAGAGACAACGCCGATACCAATCAACGGGGTCAACGCAGAGGTGAAAATTGAGCTGCTCTGGACGAGAAGTGTCAAACCAGCACCGACTAAGATCGCGATATAACCGGTCAGCCAGGAGAGCTTGCCAGGAAAGTCTGCATTGATTGTTCTCTTAATGACGATGGCTATTTGTCCACGAAGCAGTGAGTGTAACAATTTGACGATCAATACAAGACAGATGCATAACATAGCTAACGCTCCAGCCAGTAATATTATACCAACGATAGTGTCGCTCAGCTCCGTGTCGACGAACAGATGTGAGCCTATAACGAAATAATCAAAATATTAATATACAAGTCAAAATATGTGTCATTGATAATTATTTTCACTGCTATATTAATAATTATGCAATTTTTACAGATTTGTGATTTGTCTTGGAAAATTACGCAGTTCACAGTATTTCAGAGTTTACGAGAGGGAAATGGGAAAGTACAATGTGCGAGACTAGGAAGTGAAGGAGAAGCAGACGAAAACGAAAACTTACATTTTGTGAGCGGTATCTTATCAGTGACCTCCACTAATGATGTAATATTCTGAAGTGTCGTCACATTCATAGTTTCACTGGAAGCGTTAGGAATGCTCATTTCAGACGTCACGTTGGTCTCCATGGTAACATTTATCAGTCGAGTAACCTCTGTAGTCTCACACCAATGCTTGATCATACTGTCGTCAATAGCACTGCTGTCACCGATAGCAATCTTTGTGATAACTTTCTTGTCAACCTGAAGTCAAAATAAAAATACAATCAACATCAGTGTGACCCTCCATGACCACCGACACCCCCTTATATATAATGGTTCTTTTTAAGATGCATTGGTCAAGCAGGCAGTGAAACATTCGGTATGCTTGGAATGCAGGCAGCCACAAGTTGTACATAACTGCAATTCTTACAGCAGACTTTATTCTGGTCAATCACAAAGTTAATGATTTGGGGATAAGCAAATACTGCGGCAATTTTATTAAACAAAACAACAAAATTGTTTACTTCAATTGATATGAAATGCAGGGTGAAATAAAGATGCCAAACAGATTGAAACTATGCATGGCAACAATGACTGAACCCATAGCAACCATGACTGAACTCCTTCACTGAACGAATACCAGTAAAAGAAAAAAAAACAGCCGATTAAAATGATTTAAAGGAAAATAACAGTAGTATATAATAAAAAAAAAAAAAAAAAAAAAAATGTACAGAAAAAGTCCACTGTGTTTGACCTCTAATTTGAATAAGGTCATGGGGGAAGATATGTTTGGCATGTTGAATGCAATCGATCATAATTGCAATATGGAAAAAATAAAGACGATTTTTTGAGAAGTTAATGGTACTGGTATGAAATAATTGTCTTTCAGAAACAGTCACAAGATTAAATCAATGTTGCCATGGTTACAGTATAATTATTTAATAACATGTTTATCACAAGAAAAACGCCAGATTTTAAAAGTGTTGTGTAAAAAAGGAGCCAGTAGCTTCATTCTCCCAAAGATGCAACAAGTCTTGACATCCAAACATTGACACCAAGCACAGTAAG